GTTGGTTTGAAGCAGCAGAACAAAGTTTGAGTCCGGTGGCACCTTGAAGACCAACAAAGTTTAATGCTGGGCCCTAAGCTTTCATATGCAGGCACAGAGCAACTGAGAAATGCGGGAAAAGATACTGCTGATGAGGATATGCTTAAAGTTCTTCATAGGGGGTATCTAACACCTGCAAAGCTGTCCCATACACACGGTCATTCGTCACCGCTATGCTGGAAGCGCTGCGGCTCAAAAGCTACATTCATCCACACTTGGTGGGAATGTCCTTTAGTAGCAGATTACTGGAAGCAGATCATTTCTAACATTCAAACCCTTACAGGATATGATTTACCGTACGATCCAAAGGTGATTTTGTTTCACCTTTGGCCTGATGACGGTCCACCTGAGAACAGGAGACAGTTGATTAATATTTTAGTAATTGCCGCAAAGATCTCTCTGGCAAGTAAATGGAAAACAGACTTCCTCCCGACCATGCAGCAATGGCTACATAAAGTGTGGGATTTCTTTCTTCAGGAGAAAGCATCTATATGGCTAAGTAATAAAGACGCTGAACGGCACTTACTAAACCCTTTAGCTAAATGGGCTCCAATCATTGATAAAATGAATTTGGATAAGTTCGATTGGGAACATATAAAGTCACCGAAATTTAAGATGCTTGTCTTAGGGTGAGAGTTTGTTACTTGTGTTTTCAGCATTTGAAGTTTAGTTAGACATAATGGGTCGATAGGGCTCACAGTGTCATCAACTGAAGATAGGGCTCTCAGTGTCATCAACTGAATAACATTTATTTTTTGGTTTTTTGTAGTTTTGTTTCTTTACTCTGTGTGCTTAATCAATTTTATCAAAAATTTCATGTTATTTCTCTGTACTTAATGTGTTATGATGAAGTTTGAAATTTAATAAACAGTTATTATAAAAAAAGGATATGCTTATGTTAATTTTAATTAACCTGCCAGAACTGTATGAAAATACAGTGTCTCAAATTGAGACTGACTTCTCCCTCCAAAGCGTTATCAATCAACGTGAGGAGGAATATGACACGTGGGAATTAAGGAAAGCAGAGACTAGCCAATGGCACCGAAAATGAATATCAAAGGGGAGAAAATCTGTCATCTCTGTGGGAAGCGAGGACACATCGAGAGGGACTCCACGACTGCTAGGCAGAGGATAGCCTTTCCCAAAGCAAAGAGGGGAACTGGCAAAGAACCTCCACTCAAATTTAAGGTGCAGCCAATAAAGAAGCGTGTGTGCACACAAAAACGTATACCTTGAATAAAACTTTGTGGGTCTTAAAGGTGCCTGACTGGACTCAAAACTTTGTTTTTCTTGTTTTTGCTTTGTTGATTTTGTTTTAGAGTGGTCATTTTGCATCCAAGGTCAGCTTCCTTTCAAAGGGATTTCAAAGCACCCCATATCCGAGCACTACGGAACGTGTCTGGGGCAGAACACATCCTCTAGCTAGGGTGTCCCCCCCCCCTCCACTATTCAGCCTATGCCCATTGGCCTGGCTCTTTCAAAATCTGCTACCGGAGGCCACGGCTTGAGGCAAGCAGCTTACCTCCAACTTGCTGTTATCCAGGCCAGACAAAGTCATTTCCTCCATTTTCATTTGCAAATACTAAGGAAGAAGACACCAAGAACGCAGCATAGCACGGGCCGAGCTCAAACGGGAAGGGATCCTCCTGTGTGCAGAAAAAAACACCAATATATTTCATTCAAAGAGGATTGCGTTGTAAACGCTGCTGCGGAACGGAGCAGGTGCTTTCTGTGCAGGTTTTCACAGACCAATCAACTCACTGCTTAAGCTGAGGTAGGATTTACCTATGGACCAGAGGGGTGAAGGAAACACGCCTATTTTGCTATTAGCCAGTTAGGTGCAAGGAAGGAGGAGGAGGAGGAGAGATTGGATTTATACCCCGCCCTTCACTACCTAAAGGAGTCTCAGAGCGGCTTACAAACTCCTTTCCCTTCCCCTCCCCACAACAGACACCCTGTGAGGGAGGCGGGGCTGAGAGAGCTCTGACAGAAACTGCTCTTAACAGTTCTGAGAGAACTTGTGACTGACCCAAGGCCACACCAGCAGCTGCAGGTGGAGGAGTGGGGAATCAAACCCGGTTTTCCCAGATTAGAGTCCTCGCTCCTAATGACTACACCAAACTTGCATCTTTTCCGTGCAAGAACACTTCTTTCAAGAAGCACTTTGCCTCTTGACAGCTGGGCAAACCTTTCTCATTAAAAGTGATTTTTTCCAAAATGCTTTAAGAGAGGCTGCTGATCGGAGGGTGCCTCATAAACGGATCTCAAAGGCTTTTTAGTAGTTTCGTCTAACTAACTGACCAACAGTGCAACCCTCTGCAGTTACTCCAGTATGAACCCACTGAAACCAAGAGGCTTAGAGGGGAGTGACTCTGCAAACGATTGCCTGACAAATGTCACCATCCTGGCAGGGAGATTCGATAATTTGCTGGCATGCAAGCTATACGAAGACCTACAGCAGACATCTGACTTGCACCGTTCTCTGGCTGCCGTTCACAGGCTCCAGCTCAGTGTTTTCCCAACCTGTGGATTGGGACCCAAAAGTGGGTCAGAAAGCCTCTACAAGTGGGTCGTGGGCCAGCCCTCCATAACTGTCACTCCTGCCCTTTCCACTGCTCTCTTCTGTATTGTGGAAACGAAGATGAAGAAGAGGAGGAGATTGGATTTATACCCCACCTGTCACTACCCGAAGGAGTCTCAGAGCGGCTTACAATCTCCTTTCCCTTCTCCTCCCCACAACTGACACCCTGTGAGGTCGGTGGGGCTGAGAGAGCTCTTTCAAGGACTGCTCTTGAGAGAACAGCTCTGAGAGAACTTGTGACTGACCCAAGGTCACACCAGCGGCTGCATGTGGAGGAGTGGGGAATCAATCCCAATTCTCCCAGATTAGAGTCCACGCTCCTAACCGCTACACCAAACTGGCTCTGACGCTAGAAACAGTATCTTCCATGTAATACATGAGCTGGTATTTTTTCTTCATTGTGTATACGTGTTGATCAAGTAAAAGATGTCCTGACGGTTACCAGAATGAGTTTCTTAGAATCTTAGAGGGGAATTAGAAGGAGTATTGGAGAGGGTGGTCAGAGGCTGGCATGGAACCTCCCTATGCAAAGGCAGTGCGTGTCTGAATGCCACTTGCTTGGGGTTCATAGTGGAGACAGCTGCGCCCATCACGTGATGTCTGTGTCAGAACCCAGAGCTAACAACGAAGTACACGCATTCAGGAACGGTGATACTTTTATTGCAAAGCTATAGATGCAGTAACACAGGCACTGTTAGGAATGGCCACAGCACTAGAGCATAATAGGATATAGGGTATTCGTATGCACCCCCCCCATGGCATTGACCAATTAGGGACCCTCCCGCGCGCGGGATAAGTCAGGCAACCGTTAGGTGGCTAAAGCTGAGAACCTGGAGTCTCTCACGTACATAGGAGCCCTCCAGACAACACAACCTCCTCCTGCACATCTGTAGAGATAAGCGTTTCAGCAAAAGCAGAGCAGCAGGGATAGGAATGAAATAGCAATTAACAAGACACAGAATGAACTCCCCAACCCCCATGGCAGCATAGCTGACAGTCTGTTGGCTTCTCAAAAACATTTGGTTGGCCACGGTAGAAAGTGGAATGCTGAACTTAGATGGGTGCTAAAGGTCACTGTTCGCCTGGGGTGCCAAAATACCCCGGGCAGGCCCTGGATGGGTCACCATACCAAGTAAATTTGGACTTGTGGGTCACCGTACCAAAAAGGTTCGGAACAACTGCTCCGACTATATGGATGCAAGAGTTTGGTGCCCTCTAAAAGGGCCGGAGGCCATGGAAGAACGGTTACCCCATCAGCCGGATTGCTCACATCTTCCTATCACTCCAGCAAGACTACCCTGCAGACCCCAGAAACGTGGCTCGCCACTCGTCGTGGTCCAGTGTCCTGTGAAATCTTGGAAGCCAGAGAAGGAACTGACATGATTCCCACTTCCATTTTCATGCCTAACTTTTTTGCGTGTTTGTTTATACAAAGATGACACCAGAAGCAGAAAATCTCAGGATGCGGAACTGTGCTGCGCGCACACCCCTGAATTCCATGCTTGCTCGTGCCCTCAGAGAGGTGCAAAGTCCACCAACCCGGCGACAGTTCACAGAATACAGTGAAACAAGCTAAACGCAGGGCTGTGTTTATCCCTGAATGACACAGCACAAAAAGGCACAGAATGTGGTATTTGGCACTGCAGTAAGCATCTTAGCCTCTTCCCCCCCCCCTTTTTTAAAAATCACGTATCTGTCCTCATGGATAAGAAGAGGAGCTTGAAAAGTGCACCAGTGATTCCTTCCTAAGTCTCAGAAGCCACGGAGGAGACGGAATAAGATTTTCAGAGGCTGGCACCGGAGTCGCAAGGTCCGTCTGCTTCCCACAAGTAGCAGAACCAGAATTATGCAATGCAACAGAAGTGACAGAATTACATAAACTTACTAATTATGTAAATCTGCTAGAATTCAGCTCTTCTTGAGAAACAATTTTCTCTGCAAGTATATACATAGCCCCAATTGAAACACACCAGCTATCCCTGGACAAAACAGTTCACACAGTGCTTTCTGACAGATCAGCCCTACAGCGTGGCCCAAGCAGAGAACATCTTTACTGATCGCACATTAGTCACTATCAGCCTCATCTCTTCACCGCAAGACAACTGTCCTGAGCAGGGCAAAACCAACGCAATCAAATCTTGTCTAGAATTCTCCCTCCCCCTGATTAAGTCGCCCAACAAATACCTGCCATACCTGGCAGTCACGGGAGAATCGACTAAACCAGGATTCTAAGAAAACTGGCACCAATCAGAAAGTGAGCACCTGCCACCCCCAAAATGGCAACACCTCTGCCACTGGGAAAAGCCGGACCTACGTTATCAGACTGTACACATGCAACTTCTAGCAGAAACGTGAGAATGCATGCACATACACACACCCATTCCAAAAGAGCTGACAGATGGAGGCAAGATGGCGGGAAACAGATTATCTGGAAACAGTGCCATGAGGGGGGAGGTATTTTCCCAACTCCCCCCAAAGTTCTCTGCCCAATCCAAGATAGGAGACAAAAAGCTCCGACTGACCTGGACCGCAGACTCTTCCGCAAAGAAGCCAGAATAACCAAGGGGGAGAAATGGCTCCACAAGACGGTACATTTAGACGAGACAAAGAGCGGCCCCCCGTTGCCAAGAGCATGCACTCATCCCAAGAGTCACAGCGGCCCTTTCTTTTCCATTTGTTCCCTGTTGGACTGAAACTGGCTGTGCTCGCTTCCAGAATCTTCCGCTGACTCACTCTCTCTCTCTCCCCCCAAGAACCTCCAGGCACCAAGCAGTGTATCAGGACAAAAGTAAAGGGCGAGGAATTGGGGGTGAGGGGAGAGAACTGAGTGGTCGCAGGCTGCAATGAATCTTCCAAGTCCATTTACAGATCAAAAGTGGCAGGGGACACCCCCCCCCCACCTTTTCCATTGCATTATGTCGGAATGATCCCTCGGATGCTTTTTGAAGAGGGACTGGATGGCACAGAAATGCATGATAAGATTTGAATTTATTTTTTTTTTATTTACAGAACAAAAGCGGCAGGCGACCCCCCCCCACAGCCTTTTCCATAGCATTATGTCGGAATGATCCCTCGGATGCTTTTTGAAGAGGGACTGGACGGCACAGAAACGCATGATAAGATTTGAATTTATTTAAAAAGCATATTTTTAAAAAAGTTACTGCTTATCTGAGAGCTTAAAAAACGTTTTTAAAAACATGAAGCAGAGCCAACTGGCCCTCCCAACCTCCGTTAAGCAATATCTGTATGCGCACACCTCTAATTTTATACAAACACATACATATGTACTTTGCTCCAGAATATCCAGATTCAAATTTTAAAATATATAAACAATGGTTGCATCTGGAAAGGCCGCTTCCAATGTTTTAAAGCAGGGGTGTCAAACACACGGCCCGTAGGCTGGAACTGGCCCGCCCAGAGCTCTTATTCAGCCCGTAAGCAACTGGTCATTACCTTTATTGCCAGATGACAGAGGCTGTGCCTTATGTCCCTGTATCCTGTCCCAGCGCTAATGCGGAAAGGGTGGTAGAAGTGGGAGGGTGGGCATCGGGGAGATATTCAAGGAAGTACTGCAAGAGTCTTAATGTTTTAAGCGTGTTTATATTTTGAATAAAAACAATATTGTCAATTGCGTTTGCCTGTGTCCTTTATAAAGTTTACATCTCCAGTACCTGGCATTACATTTTATGGCACACGTGGCCCAACAAAGTGGCCCTCGTAACAAATGAGCTTCACACCTCTGTTTTAAAGACTAGCCAGACGAAAGAAATTTACCTTTTCAACTGGCTCTATCATTATAAACGCTGGTGTTCGGCCCCATAGAGGGCTTTATAAATATTTTTTTAAAATAAAATGTAATACACCCTGGTTATAGGACAAAGTTTGAGTCCCGCGGCACCTTTAAAACCAATTAAGTTTTATTCTGTGTATAAGCTTTTGTGTGCATTGAAAGCTCAGACCTAGAATTAAACTTGTTGGTCTTAAAAGGTGCCAGTGGACTCAAACTTTGTTCTGCTGCTTCAGACCAACACGACTACCCACCTGATTCTACC